ACACAAGGTCATGAATTTAATCCCCGGTACAAATAAATCAATGAATGAATGAATGAATAAATAAATAAATAAGAAAGAATGAGAACAGTCAAGGAAGGAAACTAGGAGACTTTGGAGGAATATAAGCAGAGAGTGGTAGCAGGAAGAACAGAAATACTATGGGGTTGGGATAACTTCTCCCAAAGGATCAGGTATTGAAGTAGTGGTTCTCAGCCCCTGGCACTATGGAAGTGGTGATCCTTTAAGAGCTGGGCCCAGTAGGAGGTTTAGGTCTTTGGGAACGGACCTTCCTTTGAAAGAACTGTGGGACTCTGCTCTTTCTCTTTGGTGACTCAGCCTTGAGAAAGTAGCTTTGCTCTACCACTCACTCTCTGCCATGATGTGCTGCCTAGCCACCAATGGAGCTAACCAAACATGGACTAAAATTTCCAAAACTATGATCCAAAATAAGCTTTTTCTAAATTGATTCATCTCAAGTATTTGTTACAGTGACAGAATGGTGATTAACACAAGGACAGAACAGAGAGATTTTGTACAAAGAATAATACAACTCAAAAAAAAAAAAAGAATAATACAACTCAAGACTTAGAATACTGGTATCAGTTAATAACAAAGGACAGGAGATAGTCTGAGGGACAAAGAGGTAAGATTAGTTGCTGACATAAAGATTCCAGGTAAAAATGTTTAATAAGGAGATTGAATAACATATGACACAGCAGGTCTCAATTAGAGATATGAGGATTATCAGTATAGCTAGAACAGCTCAAGTCATGTGCAAGTCATGCGACTCCAGAATTGAATGTAAAAGGTAAGAGTATACTTTTTTTTGGTATCAGGGATAGAACTCAGGTCCTTACGCTTGCAAGGCACGCGGCAAACACTGAGCTAAATCCCCAGCCCAACAGTATACTTTTTCTTCTTGGAACTGTTCTAAAGCACCTTCTATTACCACCCCTGGAGAGCTGGCATAGACCTTTCCATCCGTTTAGAACTACTCCAACTTGATAGCCTTGCCCCAAGTTTACCTTTTTCATAAACTTTCTTGGATTAATTTCACTTAGTATTCACTCTCTTAGTATTCACACTGTTTATATTGTTGATTTGTGCAAATGCCAAATTTTTTTGTGCATAGGTACTCTGATTTAATTAAGTTTTACCTACCTATATACTTACACTCTACCTAAGATCTCTTCCAGGTTTCTGTTTTTTGTGAGACAAGGTCTCTCTGTGTAGTTCAGGCTGGCCTTGAACTTGCAGCAATTCTCCTTCCTCAGCCTCCTGAGTGGTGGGACTACTGGTGTGTGCCACCATGCCCGGCTCCCCTAGGTTTTTTTTAAAGAATTGCTGATGGCCCTGCCTCACAAGTGCAAGGTCCCGAGTTCAATCTCTGATACCAAAAAAAAAAAAAATCGCTGATGGCATTGTCCTCACTTATCCTTTTTTCAGAAATTAAAAATCTATGAACTTCAACCAAAAGTGGAAATAAGGACCAAAATGTAAAACAGATATTGGGAAACAGGAAGAAAATGTTCAAATGAGAAGGGGAAAAAGGGAGGGGGAGGAGGAAAGGAAAGAAGGGACAAGAAAAAAAGAGAATAGAAGGAAAAAATGTAAACAAAGCTTTTGTAAATAAGGAGGGGAAAAAGGGTTGAAGAGGGGAGGAATGGAAAAGAAAGAAGCAAGATATCCTACATACAGGTACAAATTCCCTATGATGAATGTTATCATTATGTATATCTAAAATGCACGGGGCGGGGATTTAGCTCAGTGGTTTCGCTGCCTGCTGCGCAAGAGCAAGGACCCGAGTTCGATCCCCGGTACCAAAAAACAAAAACAAAAACAATAAAATGCACCAACAAAGGGTTTTTTTGGGGGGGATTTTGGTACCAGGGATCGAACTTGGGACCTTGCACTTGCGAGGCAGGCGATGGAACCCTGAGCTAAATCCCTGTCCCAATAAAGGGTTTGCTTCAAAAAACAAAAACAAACAAACAAAAAAACAAATCTACAAGCTTCTAGCAAAGTATCTGGTATATACAGTAGATATTCAGTAAGTATTTGCTGAGGTAATAAGGAATAGGAAATCCATAAAGTCAAGTCCCTTTCATCTCATATATTAGCATGGAGAAGAGGTTCTGTCTCTCCTCCAAGTCTAGGGTACCATTTTGGTTATGCCTTAACTGATGTATTAACTGGCGTAATAACCACCAACTAAATACACTACTGATTAAATATTAAGTTAAGCTTGCTTAGCTTGGGTTAAATCCCCATCTCTCATGGTATCAAAAGAAAAAGGCCACTTTGGTTTCTGTTTGTCTGGGTACAAATAGCACAAAAGAACTGTTACATGATGTGAGAGCAGTTGCTATGAATGCTCCCTTGGGAATGGTGCATGGAAGCAAGACAATATCTAAAACAACTGATGAGAGGTTCCAGGTCACCCAAATTGGCTTAAAAAAAGTCCCATTGACTCAAACAAATGTCTGAGTTCTGGAAATGTCCCCTCAATGGTGTCTGGGTTCACAAGGAAAGCTGAATTTATGAACTGATAATCTGCTACTGGAGGAAAACTGACACCCAGTGGAAAAGAAGCAGCCAGGGTAGGTCAGCTTTTTGCCGTCTTTTGTTCACCCATGCACTGTGGATAGGGAGAAATGTCAAAGGCATCTTTTGTCTGTAAAATCTTCCAAAGTCTTAATAAAGAGAGAATACAGTGACAAAAGCTAGAAAAAAACCTCAATGCAGCTATTGTCAAAAACCACAGAACACAATCTTGTTATTAAAAATCAGAGTGGAGGGCACAATAGAAACTTGGGAGCTTTTAGTGTTCCTTTTTCCTGATTAAATGCAGATCACATAAGGGCTCTTGATGGGAGAAGGGAAGTACAGCTCCCAGTACATCTGGTCCCTGGTATTAATCTTAACTGTCTGGTGATAGCAAGGCACGTGGCTTTTAGGACAGCAAATACCTGCAATGATGACTGAGTCAGTTCGGGCTGGGCCAAATTTCAATGTCATCTCATGCTTGTGTTTATGAACTGCCAGGTGGTCCTCGTTTGTAAATCTCTGAAATGAAACAGAAATGGAGATGTGAAAACAAACAAACAAACATCAATTCAGTTCCCTTTAAAAATGTTCTAAAAATATGCTGCAGTGAGGTTGGTCCCTCGAAAGGGGTAACGGAAAAAGAGAAAAAATTGGAAGCAATGAAAAAGGAGAAGAGACAGAGGAAAATTGGTGGTAGAAAGCAGGGAGGAGAGGAGAGGGGGAGACCACGGCACCAACTGCTTTATAATATCCGGTCCAAAGAAGAGAAGTGGACAGATTGTTGGTGAAGTGAGGTCCAGGCAGGAGGCCCCAAATGAAAAAAACATTAAGGCAAACTTGTAGTGAACAAGGGGAAAACAATTTTTAATAATAATAATAAAGAGAGAAGAAGGGGAAGGCTAAGCACTCAATGGTCATCACAAAAATATGAAATTTCAGAAAGAAGCTCTCCATGATGGGGCTGATTGGACTGTTTTATGGGGAAGCTAACAGGGAGATAAATTATGCAGGATTAGGAGAACCATTTAACTTCCTGGCCCCCACAGTCTGCAGCAGTTGCCTGCACGGCTATTTGGCTCAGATTTTTAATGAGCCAGGATGGAGCTGTATAGGACCAGGGCCCATTGGCCAGCAATAATGGCACGCACCAGCCCCTTCGGCCAAATGCTGGGTCTGCTCATCAGGCAGCTCGCCTGGGCTCCATCAGCCATAAAGAGGCCAATACAATGCTGCTGGCTGTATAAAGGCAGAATAAAAGTGCAAGAAAAAAAAATGAAGGGTAGGGAGGAGCCTGTAGGCAGGATAACAGAAGAGAAAAGGAGATGGTATAGAGATTGTGTTTGTTTAGGGGTTGGGATGAAAGGACAACGAAGAGGTGAAGTTCACCCTAGTTTATGACTAAGTAAGATAGGGTTACTGAACTAATTTATGCTCCCATCCCTTTAAAAGAAGGTGAAAGGAATAGATGAATAGCAGTAATTCAAAAGAATAGTACCCTCAAAAGTCTCTTAGAGGCTGCTGGTCATGTTCCTTCATTAAAACATGCCTGCCACACAGCAACTGCTTGCATGTTGCAGTTTTCTACAGCTCCTTTACCAGGGGTTCTGTTTGTCTCTTTGTTTCTAAAACTAATGATGGGAGCTGGACATTACGGGAAGCGAAGCAAGGAGGATTCTGAGTTCTAGCCCAGCATGGATAATTTAATGATTTACCAAGACCCTATCTCAAAATTTAAAACAAAAGGAGGCTGGGGTGGGGATGTAGCCCAATGTACCCCCAAGACCCTGGGTTTAATCCCCAGTATAATAAAAAAATAAAATAGAGTGATTGGTTGTCCCATTTCTACTTTCTTCACTTGATACATTCCTATATACCTACAGCCCTCTTTCCCACAACTCTTCGGGAAAAACAAATACACAGGACTTGGCCCCATCCATTTAGGAAAACAACACTAAACTGTCTCAGCTCTGTTATTTTACTCAGACATAGCTTTTCTCCCAGTTCACATTTTGTGAAGTTTAAGATTCAAAATCCATTAAAAAAAATCCAAATCCTTCTGGGGAAGGCATAAAGGCCTGAAGGACATTTTCTTTTCTTTTTTTTGGTACTGACAATTAAACTCAGGACCTTGCACTTGCAGGACAGGCATAGTGCCACTGAGCTAAATCCCCCACCACCACCTTTTTTTTGGAACCTGGGATCAAACCCAGGACCTTGGGCTTGTGAGGTAGGTGGCGGCACCTCTCAGCTAAATCTCCAGCCCCTGAAGGGTATTTTCAATTAAAAGTGTGATAGAGACCTGTAGGCAGGGATGAGGGATCCCGCCCCCGCCCCGCCCCCCCCAGTTCAGATAGCTGGGAGAACAGGCTTAACCACTGACAGTCTGTGCTCAAAACTCCTCTTCACGCTGTACCCTGAAAAGCCTGGTTTGCTAAGATCAAGAGGAAAAAAACCCTTGGCCCTAAGATGTAAAAGACCCCACCCCCCAAAGACCCTTCCCTGTTGTCCTAGTAACGAGCTAAGTTAATCATTAACCAATCAAGTAGGGGCATCCTCAGCCCAGAGGCAAGATAGGCCCCAACTACTATAAAACCAGCATCTTCAACAGTGGCTCCGTTTCGGGCACCCCTGCCTGTCTCTCGGAGAGAAGGCAGCTGTATTCTTGCATGCTTGCTGAATAAAAGTACAACTTTGCTTCTATGCTTTCGGTCTCTGATTCTTCCACAACCATCTGCGTCATTGGGAGAGTCAGGCCTGGGACTGTGGGGACTCTCCACCTGTCTCCGCCCAAGACATAATGAAGATCCAAGAAGTCTGTTAACCAAGGCATGATGTTTGCAGGCTGCTAGGGGTCTGGGATTCCTGGTACTGTATTTGACAAAAGGAAATAAGCAGGACTTACGCTAAAATGGAGAAAAAATATCTTTTTTAGGAAGACATGAAGAACAGTGGATTAAACACATTTGTTGGTACTAGTCATGATATACCATAGCAATATATTTTTTTTAATGTTTATAGGTATACTGCAAGGAAATTTCAGGTAAGTAGTTTGAGAATATGTGTACAGTGTTCTAGAAGCTAAAAGAATGACTTTAAAGCAATAAGTCCTCTTCTTCAGAAATGTAGTTTGCTCAAAGTGGACAGAGAGACAGGAAACTGAACTCAAGACCTTGCACTAAGCTATATCCCTAGCCCTTTTAAAATGTTTTTACTTTGAGACACGGTCTTGCCAAATTGCTAAACTGCCTAGGCTGGGCTCTAACCAGCTTTTCTTTTCTTTTCTTTTTTTGCAGTTTGGGGATTGAACCCAGGCCCTCACACATGCTAATGGAGCATATTACCATTATGCTACATCCTTATATCCTCATTTATTTTATTGTAAAACAGGGCCTTGAAGGCCAGGCATGGTGACACATACCTGTAATCCCAGCACTCAGGAGATGTTGGGGCGGGAGGATCACCTCAAATCCAAGGCCAGCCTGGGCTACATAGTGAGTTCAAGGCCACCCTGAACTATGCAGTGAGACCCTGACTCAAAAAACCAAAAAACAGGCCAGGGATTTAGCTCAGTGGTTTCACCACCTGCCTCACAAGCACAGGGTCCGGAGTTCGATCCCAGTACCAAAACAAACAAACAAACAAACAAACACCCAAAACCCAAACACCAAAAAAACACCAGGGTCTTGATAAATTTCCCAGGTTGGCCCTGAAATTCAGATCTTCCTCCCTTGGTCTCCTAAGGAGCTGGGATTATATGTGCATTGCACTTCATCTGGCTAAACTATATCTTTTTTTTTTTTTTGGTAGTACAGGGGATTGAACCCAGGTCCTTTATACTCGGCCACATTCCTAGCCCCTCTTTTTATTTTGATGCAAGGTCTCATTAGATTGCTAAGATGTCCTGGTGGGCTCAACCTTGGGATCCTCCTACCTCAGCCTCACAGAGTGCTGAGATTATAGGCGAGTGTCACTACTCTGGCTCAGTTATACTATTAATGAAAATCAAGGGCTCAATTAGTCAGGGGTGGCGGTACATGCCTGTAATACCAATGTGTACCACTGCACCTGTGGTCTGTGGCTTTTTGTTTGTTTGTTTTGGGTACAGAGGATCAAACTCAGGACCTTGCACTTGCCAGGCAGGCGCAGTGCCACTAAGCTACACCCCCAGACCCTGTGACTGGTTTGTTCCTACTATTTTCAATACAATTCTAGTAATCTGGAGTAGGAGGGAGAGAATAAAAGCTTACTTAAGCTTTTGTCAAAGTCAGTGGCAATCTGGCTATTGTTTTGAATATTCAATTCTATTTTCTCTCATTTATTAAGTGTTAACTCTAAGAATTCTCTGTATCAGGGGCTAGAGGTATAGCTTAGTGACAGATCACTTGCCTTGAATGTGAGGCCCAGTAGTAGGAAAAAAAAAAACTAGATCAGTGTTCCAAGCTTCCATCAGTCACAGCTGTGTCATCCTCCCCACTGCCCCCCACCCCTGTGGTGGGGCACTGAAGCCAGGGCCTTGGGCATGACAACAGATCACTATTGAACTTCAAGCTTAGGGAATCATCTCTCTGAAAGCAATTTTTCAGTTAAAATAGCCACAATTATTAAGAGACAAAAATTTTGATCTTAGTAAAAGTACAGATTATTCCATTGGTTTAAAATGGAAGATGGAAGAATGGGAGGAAGGGCTCCCAGAAGCTTTTCCTTTTAAAATTATTGCCCATCTAGCTGACGAGGTGGTGCATGTGAGGACTACCATAAGTTCGAGGCCAGCCTGAACTACATAGGGACCTTGTTTCAAAAAAAAAAAAAAAAAATTGCCCATCTAAGAATCTAGCTCCTCTATTTGTTTTTTGTTTTTTTGGGGTTTTTTTGGTACCTGAGATTGAACTCGGGTCCTTGTGCTTGCGCAACAGGCAGCGAAACCACTGAGCTAAATCCCCAGCCCTCCTCTATTTGTTAATACAGCCAATGGACTTTCTTTTCTAGTCTCATCCATGAGTGGCAAACAGCCACTCACTCTGGTTGTAGGGTAAATGATGATAATTTTCAATATATGTGTAGTTACTATCTCTTTGCAAGGCAGCAGAAGGCCGATACTATTCAAAATGGGGACTGAACAATTTAAGACACAGTGGATTAGAAAAGCAGTTTATATATCTTGAGAGAGGATTTATATGGTAATTTAGGGTTTTGTTGTTATTTTGTTATTTTTTTTCCTGTACTGGGAAAGACTGAACCTAGGGTCTTTCCCACCTTAAAAATTTTTTTGAGATAGGGTTGCTCTAAGTCATAGAATTGCCCAGGCTGGGCTCAAACTTAAAATCCTCCTACCTCAGATCCTAGAGTGCTGAGATTACAGGCATAAAATACCATACCTGACTAAATTTAGTCTTATTTGCTCAAGTAAATGAATCAAGACAGTTTCTTTTTTTTGGTACCAGGGATCAAACTCGGGTCCTTGCACTTGCACAGCAGGCAGCAAAACCACTGAGCTAAAAATCCCCGGCTCCAAGACAGTT